GGCATTCACTTTATTTCTATTCGTATTCAGCCTTCGCATTCGGCCCTTCCACACGTAGCCATTTGCATTCGGTCACTCACATTCGGTCGGCGCTCAGTTGAGTTTGGTTGAGTTGGGTTGACCATCTTTGTCACTAAATATGTATAACAGTCAGATCCCTCCTTCCGTGTAATGGATGCAAGCCTTAAAGCAAAGAGGAGAATCAATATATTATAGACATGCATATAGTTCACCTAATCGATTTAGATTTCTAATCATTTTTATTTATATTGTTTTTATTTGCTACAAAACCAATAGAACAGTAATAGCAAACACATATATGGGCTAGAGTCCTCAGGGCACCAGGCCCCAGGCATCTAGTCATGCTTATATTTGGGGCAAGAGCTAGCATGACAAAAACCCATAGAAAATTCGCTAGTTAATTTCATTTTATTTTTTTGTAACCCAAGACTTTAGCCATCTATAGAAAATAGTGTTAGTGTAATAAATATAGACATAACATCTAGTTTATGCATAAAGCAACTAGCCAAGGTTTCCATCTAAAATGCAGAAAAGACAATGAATAAACTCATTCAATCAAAGCATGCAATCATAAAATAAAAGACACATAATTCACCATCGACTTAAACTATAATAGGTTACATTACTGGAAAATGTGCTAAAACGGACAAAAAAACATATGGTAAAATCGATCTGCATAATTTGTGACGACATAACAACACGATCTGCCATTGCTTATAAACAATAATTTTTTTCCGACGGTTTTAATTATTACCGACATGTTAGGTCGTTGGTTTTAAAACAAATATTAACTGATGGTCATATTGCGTCGATTATAAACGAACCCGCCATTTGGCGGGGTGCTAACCAATGTCTTTTTTTAATAAGCAACAGTTTTATCCATCGGTAATAATGTAAATTACTAGCAGTCTAGCGACTGTTTATGTTTGGGTTATTTGCTACATCATAACTATAGATTTGCTGTAAGTTATCAACAACAATTTTTTTTTTCAATGATTTTATTATTATCGACGCAATAAGCTTTTGGTTATATTCAAATCTTGACCTACGACTATATGTCGTCGGTTATCTTCAAACCCGCCATCTGATGGGAGATTAATTTTTAAGGGATTCTGTTTCTATTAATCATTATGTCCATGAAGGTGATATTTGTTTTATTGACTCAATATTTTTCTAATGAAGATATTGAAATGATTTTCATTTCTATTAGCTCTAATAAAGTTAATGTAGAAAATAAATTTATTTCAAAAATTTTTAATGATGCATGGGGTATTGCTGGCTGAAATAATTATTAATCATTTTTTATCACTGCTAAACTCCCTCATAGAGTCAAACATTATGTTATTGTGTTTATACTTAAAATATCTGATGTTAAAGCTTTTTCTGTGTATCTTCTTTTTTTTATGTACTACTGATATCAATAAATATTTTGATAAGGTTAATAAATATTTTTTGTATAAAAGATTACAAAGGATATATATTCTGAGTAATTTCATTAAATGTATTGATGCTTGTACTTTTGATTTTAATTTTTAAGTTAATAATAATAGTGAACAAAAAGACTTTTTCTTTTTTGAGGTTAAGGCATGATTGTCCTCTCTTCTCTTATCTATTTGTTATCATTATGGATTCTCTTTATGTTATGTTTGATATCATTTGGCTGAAGATAATTGTGTTAATGCTATAAGTCATTGAGTTTATACTGATGATATTCTTACTTTTAGTACGTCTGATTCTCAACATATCAATTTTATTTCTAAATATGTCATTGCATTTTCTAAAAATTTTTTTAGTTATCTTTAATAGCATACTTATAATTTAGGTTGTTTACCTATAAAATCTTTATCATAAGATTACCTTAGTGTAACTATAAAACCTTCTAAGTTGGTTTTTGTTGATTGTCATAAGCTTATTGAAAAAATTCATATTTGGTTTGCTGGTTGAAGAAAAATATTTCATTTGTTTTGGTATATTTTAATCAACTACATTTACTATTTGAAGTTTTGTTATTGGTTGTGTTCCACCTTATTACTTAAAGGTCCAAAGAAAATGATTTATACTGTAATCTCTAAGTTTTTTTTTCTTAATATCAATCATATTATAGAGTCATACTATTTCATGGAATAAAATTACATTGCCTAAGCAAACTAGTTGTTAAGTTACGTGTTCCTTCTCTTAATTCTATAAATATTATGTGAAAAATTAAAATTATTTGGAAATTTTATAACTCTTATTTTTATTTGAGAGATTGAATTTTTAATCATTGCAATTTTTTAGTAATATTCATTACATATCTACTCTTTTTTGGAAAAATCTCATCAAATTTGTTAATAAGTTCAGAAGTGCCTTAAGTTTCAAAATTACTGATGATTGTCTCATGCTTTTTTATTTTAATCCTTTCTTTGATGGGGTTTCTCTTGAAGAGCATTTTATGATTTTTGTTTTGGTGGTTTGATTTTTCTTTTAATTTGAAACATAAGGATACTATTCATAATGATTGTTAGAAATTTTCTTAAAATCATAATGCTCTAGATTTTTAAATTTAAACTAATAGTAAAATTTATATTACCAATGGCCTTACTTGGCAAAATAATGATTATGAATATTCTCATAAAATTATTTGTCTTTTTCTTAATGTCTTTTATCCTTCTGTTTATCAGTTTAATTTGATTTGGTTTAAAGGATTTTCTTTAAAGTATACTCTTTTCATATGAAAAATTATTAATTAGAGGATTTAAAACTTATGATATTCTCTCTTTAAGAGAGATGAGTGTTAATTTTGCTTGTATTTTATTTTCAAATAAGTTTGAAACACGTGACTATCACTTTTTTGAATGTCATTTTTCTCACTTGTTTCTTAAAAGATGTTTGTCTGGTGATAATTTTTTCATTACTCCTAGTAATATTTTTCAGGTCCTTTTTCATTTTGATTGTTTATCTTGTAAAATTCATAGGCACTTTTATCTTTTGTCTTTACAAGTTATTGCTCATGTTATTTGGCATGAGAGGAATTCTATGATTTTTAGAAATAATCCTACATTTGACAATTTTAATATTAACCATATTCATTAGTTGATTATTTTTAAAAGTAGAAAATAAAAATTTAAAAACTTTATTCCTGATTTTATCAAGAATCTCTACAATTTTGAACATTTTATTTATTTTGTTTTGTTTTATATTACTTGCTAGATTTGGTTGTGTGGCTTTATTTTTATTTTTTCTTGTGCTTAATTTTTATTATAGTTTCCTTCTTTCTTTCTTTTTGAAGTCTCAACCATTCATTATTATATATTTAGTTCTGTTACATATATATTTAGTGTTCTTGGGTGGAGATTTCATTTTGTTATTCTTAGTTTTTTGCTCTGTCTATAATCCTTGCTTAGGATTTGGCTAATTTTTTTATATTTTTTTTCTAGTATGTTTAGATGCTAATTTGGTCTTATGTGTTGCTTTATTTTATTTTTGATTATCTTGCTGTTATTTTTTTGTTTTTATTCTGTTCTGGTTTGGTGTTTTTTTTTTCTTTATTATAGAGTTTTTTTAATTTTTTCTTGTTGGTAGATTTTTGCTGCTCTTTTTTGTTTCTATTGGAAGTTGTTCAGGTTTGGATTTTGGTACGTAGATTCTTTATTGTTGTACACTTATTTTAGGTTTTAGTTTATGTTTATCTTTGTCTGTTCTTAGAAACTGGTAGGATCTTAGGTGGAGATTTCATATTGTTTTTCTTTGTTGTTGCTTGGTTTTTCATTTTTCATTGATTATTTTTGGTTTTGAGTTATGAACTTATCTAAAATCATACCTTAGCATTCCCCTATCAATGCATTGATATTTTTAAATTTTTTTTGTTGATGATCCTTTTTGTTTATATTATATTCTTACAGATATGAACAATTTCTATTCTTGTTATTTTATTTTTTGGCCATTTTTGGGTTGAGCTATGATGATTTAAAGTTATATATTAAAATCTAACCATAAGTTTGAATATTTATGGCATTTTTTATTTATTTTAGATATTCATCATTTTTGGAAGAAGTTTTAATATTTTTCTTAAAAGTAAGTTTCTAAGCTCATATTTTTAGTTTGAGCTTTGTTTATTTTAAAATGCAATTGTATTTTTTTGAATATTTATAATCTTTGGATTTTAAATATTCATATTACATAGATGTTATGTTAATGTTTAATTGGGCTATTAATTATTTGTGGTTTAGTGGATTATCTTTCTCTGTTTCCTTGTGTTGTTCTTCTTGTTAGTTTTGTCTGTTTTTTTTTTTTTTTTGTAGGATAATGAGATTTTTCCATATTTGAGTACTTACATGACCGCTGTTGTACTCTTGCATTGTTGATCATCTTCCTTCTAACAAATTCTTCTTTTGGGTTTCCATTGGTGTCTTCTTCCGACTAATGTTCATCTCTAGATCTATTAAAGCTACTTCGATATTCATTCTTCGAGGTGTTGATTCTTCATGTGGCAATCTTGTTTGATCATCTTTGAATCTCTTCTTTTGTTGTTTCTTCTTAATTAAGATTGCTAGCATTGTTGATTTTTTTATTGTTTTTCTTATTTTTTTGTGTTATATATATATTTTTTAAATTTTGAAGTCTCTTTCTTAGGCAAGTCCCTAATCTTTTCCCAAAAAAAAAAAAAAAAAAAAAATTTAAAAAATTCCAACAAAATTGCAAAACAGCCCCTCATATTTTTATTTTTATAAGTAGAAGATACTGTGACTGCCAAGTCGTGTCAACGCAAGAAATTAATCCCGCATAATTAGGTCCCATATGAACAGGAGAACCAAACAGAAGAGAAACAGGCAAACCCGCAGAAACATACAGTAACGACGGGTAGGTAGCCGTTAGGAATTCAAACGCCAGATTCTGCAATAAATCCGGACCGTTGCCATGCTTATTACTTTTTAGATTATTTCAAATCAGCACTATAAATACATCACTACAGACGAATAGAGCTGCAGAAGCAAGATTAGAGAGAGAGAGAGAGGGAGGGAGGGAGAGAAGGTTTGGAAGATGACAGAGACGACGCCTAATCACACACAGACTGTGAAAGGATGGGCAGCACTGGATTCTTCGGGGAAGATAACTCCATTTGTCTTCAAGAGAAGGTGTTCTTTCTCGCTCTGCCATTCTAAACATATATATATATATATATATATATATATTTGTAAATATATAGCTTGATTTTGTAAATTTCTTTTGTTTTTGTTGGTAAATGAAAATAGGAGGAACGGGGCAGAGGATGTAACTATAAAGATATTGTACTGTGGGATGTGCCACACTGATCTTCATTATGCTAGAAATGATTGGGGAGTCACCACCTTCCCGGTTGTTCCAGGGTACTCCTCTCTCTCTCTCTAACTTTCTCTCTCATCAAAGTTTTTAGTTTTGAGTATAATTCATCACAATTTGTGAATAAATTTCTTAAATTTGAATGAGAATATTGATATTACAGCAGTTTTTGTAAGTTTCTGTTAAATACAAGAAAATATTAGATGTTTTACACCCTCCTCCTAATAGGAGGAGAGGGAGGGGGGAGAGAGAGGGGGGAGCGATTCGGGGGTATTTAGAAAATATCAATATGGGTGATATTTTGCCCTGTAATACCACCAATACTATCAAAATATCATCATATTCAGGCAAAAATTTCACATAAATGAGTTCAGAGTCCAACGGCGACTCATAGCAAGCGAGCCCCAGAAATTTTAACACTGACCCTGGCTGGCGTGCACCCCACCATTAAACTCCGGATGTATTTTAACGTCTGGATGTAAATATTTCTCCAAATTCAGACTCATTCACACATATCTCATTATTTTTCTGTCAAATGCAACAAGAATTTTAGTAAAAAGTAGTAGAAATAAGTTTCTCCAATTATGACTTCTAATGAGAGGCATATAACTATTTATCCTGATTATTCATATTTTATTTGGGGCATTTACATCCATACCACCCAATTCTTATGTATTTACATACCTAACATCTACATTTAGTTTTCACATAACTCCAATCAAATCTTTCATATTACAAAAAAAAAAAAAAAATGACGAGTCATGCATACTGTAGTTGTTGATCTCGTCCGTGATAAGATTGGTGTAGTTCTAGTGACGGATAAAATTAGAGAGTCACTTAGGGTCTGTTTGGGGCAGCTGCAGCTTATCCAGCTTCTGCTGATAAGCAGCTTATCCTGATAATCTGCTGATGAACAGCTGATCCGGATAAGCTGACTAGCTGTTTGGTTTGTGCGTTTGGAAAACAACTAATTCTGGATAAATGACTATTTTGCCCCTGTTCTGTATAAGCTATTTAGCTGTTTGATATGTGTGTTTTATAAGCAGCTTCTTTATAGATTTTTTTAGTTAAATGACCAATCAGTCACGCAGAATTTATAATTTTCTCAACAAAATTGAAGTTCAAATGTTAAGACACGAAAATACAAAAGAGTTGAGAAAAAACTGTTCGGCAAGGTTGGAGAAATATTGCATTAATCCTGCTCAAAACCTTCTGCAAAACAGCCTCTTGAGTTGAGAAAAAACTGTTCGGCAAGGTTGGAGAAATATTGCATTAATCCTGCTCAAAACCTTCTGCAAAACAGCCTCTTAAAAATGAAAAAATTTTTTGGTCAGGAGTCCTAATATTGTCGTAAAGCAAGCAACAAGCATCCCCTAGAGAAAACATGGGTAAGAAAATTGGAGGCTCGGTGTAACCTTATCTCCATCACCAAGCAGATCCACCCGCTATCTCTACACCAACGATGCACAGAGAGCGGTTTCCCGTAGAAGAATGGGCCATCCAAGCTGCTTCGACGCCAAAGCAAGAGAAGCATTGCGATCTCTGAAGCACCCTCGGAAGCATTCCTAAAGCGGATTATGATCGCCTTCCGTGATGGATTTCATCGTCACTGCCCAATTAGAGGAGCGCTCGTTGGAAGGATTAGGTCAAAGTAATCAACGGCCATGAAGGAGCCTGGCATTAGACCATCCTCCATATGCCTCATACTTGAGGGCACCGGAGCAACAGCCACGTAAATGCCCATGATTTTCCTGCCGCGTGCAAAGAAGATGGAGGAGCGGATAGGGCAGAGGACGAACAGGGCACGGGAGACGCTGAGGGCACCGGAGTAATATTTTGCGAATGAAACGCGGACCGCAGGGTCATCCCCACGGGCCGCGTGCTTCACAAATACAAAACGGCGATTTTGGATAAGCTATGAAAACGCGCCAAACAAACGGTGAGGCGGCGTTTTCAAAACGCCGCCCGCACTTATAAGCTGTCTGAAACAGACCCTTAGATGGTTTGGTCACATTAAACATCGACCAACTGATGATCCAATTAGAAGAGTAGATATGACACTGTATAGGACGCAATTGAGAAAAGGGATTCATGTAGCGGACCCCAATTGGTGAGAGATAAAGGTTTTGTTGTTTTCGTTTATGATTTTGGCTCATCTCCCTGAAGAGACAGGCCAGATGGAATTGCTGGGATTATGACCTGTCAAAATATCACAAACATTTTGGCAATCAATCCGTTTTCACCTTTTTTCTTAGCTTTATAGATCAAATATGCAAATTATTTTAATAATCATAACATTTTCATTAAAAAAATTCTTTAAAATCTTACATGCATGCCTCACAATTCGCATTTTCACATCCAACCCCTATTTTTTCATAATAATATTCATAATACTTTAGGGCCATAAATCTAAACATGAAAATACATTATTTAGATATGTACAAAATTGAAGTTAAATCAAAATACTTACATGCATGCCCTCAATTCCTATACAATTACATATTTAACATCTAAATTGCATTTTTTTACATTTGAACCACTCAAATCTTTAACATCATATTAAGCCATTTTCTAATGCTAAAACGTGAATAAGATTGATTTTTTTGATGTAATCCTAAAAATTTGAGTGTTCTGTATGTAATTATAAAATCTTGTAACAGACATGCAAATACATGAAACTTATGTGGTATGCATGTAAAAACCCAAATTTCAACCAAAACTAACCATTCTTCACAGGCACGAGATCACAGGAATTGTCATCACCGTGGGAGAAAATGTGAGCGAATTCAAGTTAGGCGACAGAGTAGGCGTCGGTTGCCTCGCAGCCTCTTGCCTTAAGTGCGACATGTGCTTGGCCTACGAAGAGAACTACTGCAGTGAAATCCAGCTCACCTATGGCGGCATCTACTGGGATGGAAGCCTCACATATGGCGGCTATTCCACCATCATCGTCTCCCACAAACGGTACGCCATCATTCAAACCCTGCCCATGAGTCCCAATTGCCACTCCTAACCCATTCCACCCAATAGGTTTGTGGTGAAGATTCCGGAAAACTTACCGATGGACTCGGCGGCGCCGCTGCTTTGCGCGGGGATCACCATGTTCAGTCCCATGAAGCAGAATGGGATGCTGGAGCAGCCTGGTAAGAGGCTCGGCATCGTCGGCCTCGGCGGTCTCGGTCACGTCGGTGTCAAGCTTGGGAAGGCTTTTGGACTGCACGTGACGGTGATTAGCACGTCGGCGTCCAAAGAGGATGAGGCAAAGCGTCGGCTTTTTTTTGTGGTGCTGATGATTTCATCATCAGCACCAAGATGGAGCAAATGGAGGTGATTGTCACTTTCTGGAGTAAATATTACGTGCGGTATTCATATGTGTTGATTGGTGATATGGGGCGATATGCAGGGTCTGTTTGGGACTGTTTTATGTCTATTTTGCTTCTCAGACCGTCACTACAGTTCTGTTTAAAGAATTGTTTTCTTGCTGCTTTTAAAAATTTCTGTGGTAAAAAAATATTTTTTTCAACTTGAATTGTTAAAATGTGGTGGCTGCCAAAAAACTGCGGTCTAACTTTTTGAAAGTAAAATAAATTTCTAATAGCCACCGCGATTTTTTAAAAAATAGGTTTCTTCTGCAACAGTTTCACAGTAATTTCTTCAAACAGCTGGTGTGAATACCACTTCAATGCCATCAATCCGCACTTAGTTCGGCCGCACGTAATATGCATACTACACTTTGTTATTATCTTCAATCGTAAGTGGTTTTAATTAGAAGTTTAAGAGAGATTTGGATATCTTGTGAAGGCGAAGAGAAAAAGTCTGGACTACATCCTGGACACAGTATCAGCTCATCACCCGCTTGGGCCTCTCCTGGAGCTCCTGAAGGTCGGAGGAACGCTGGTGCTCGTTGGTGTTGCAGAGAAACCTCTTCCTCTCCCCTCCTTCCCGCTCTTATTCTGTAAGTTAATTTACATTTAAAGTTTGATGTAATCACACAAATAATCACATATAATGAGCAGTAGTACTAAGAACACTTGTGATTTGGGTTACTTAGCGAAGAGGAAGGTGGTGGGGAGCTTGATAGGTGGGATGAAGGAGACGCAGGAGATGATGGATTTGTGTGGGAAGCACAACATAACATGTGATATTGAGACTGTGAGGCCGGAAGGAATCAATGAGGCCATGGAAAGGCTGGCTAAGAACGACGTGCGCTATCGATTTGTTATAGATATTGGTTCATCTTCCAGCAATGGCGTCGCTTAGTTTGTTTGTGTTCTGAGGTGAGATTGATGTTTTTCGTATTGTTGATTGGCCTTGGGATGTTTTCATGCGATAAGCTTTCGAGTATTGTTGTTGTTATTATTATTTCTGCTTTTATGATATGTTACCGTAGAGAGATGCAGTTTTGATGTGATGGTATGTCGTATAAATCTTTAATAATAAGTTCCATCTGTAGGTTCTTATTAATAATGCATCCGATAATCGACATTTGCATTCATACTTTAAATTTGTCATTTTTTGCATACATGCCCTACTAATTGATCCTTTGATTAAAACCCTACTACAAAAAAGTGATCACTAGAGGGTGTATTAGCAAAATAATCTCATGGGGGTCAAAACATTGGAGCAACAACAACAACAAGCCTTTATCCCCCACTAAGTGGATTTGGCTACATGAATCCTTTTTCTCCATGGTGTCCTATTCTGTGTTATATTTTCATTTAAATCTAATAGATTAACATCATTTATTATAGAATATGCCAAAGCCTTTTTAAGTTTACCTCTGTTTTCTTAACATAAGTTGAATCTAAAACATTTAATCACCTAATCAGATCAAGTATGGTTGACGTTTAATGTGACAAAATCATCTAAAACAACTCTCAAACCTTATCTGCAACAGGAGCTACACTAACCCTTTCACGGATAGATTCGTTTCGCATTTTATCTCTTAAATGTCAAGCCACTCATCTTTCTAAACATTCTCATCTCAGCAACATTTAACTTTATTTTATGCTTCTCTCATAGGCTATTTTCGTGTCATGATTTTTTGACAAAAACTTTACATTGATTGTCGACTACCTAACGCAATCTTGTAATTTTCGCATCTGGAACTTGGGACCCAACAATGACAGTGTTGGTCAAAACTTTTGATTACATAAGAAAAAATAAAAGAAAAAAAGCAAAACCCCAACTAGAGGGTTAGAAAAAAAAAATTAATTAATTTCAATAATTCACCAAAAAATTAACTAACATGTTAAATATTAGTAATTAAATAATTAAATTAATTAACATATTAGTGATTATTAATTATACTTTTTTCAATTAATAACATGTTAGTAGTTATTACAGTTTAGTTAATTTTATAAGAAATATAATTTTTTTCTTTAAGAAAATAAAAAATATCCAATCAAACATATTTTATATATATATTTTTTTATTTTTAAAAACATATAAATCATTACAATAACAAGCGTGTTTTCTAAAAAAAAAATAAATAAAACAAAAACAAAACAAACTAAAAACAAAAAATAAAAATAGAAAAAGCAAAAATAAAAAGTGATCCCAAAGAGGGCATTATTTTTTAAAAAAATTATGAATTATGCATGATATTTAATAAATGCTCACAAAATATATAATAAATTAAGAAAATATACTATACATGCTTATGTGATAAAAAGAATTGAAAAAATATATGGCATGTGAGTATTCATTTAAAGATTATAAGCTTTTTTTTTTTTCTAAAATATGGAAAATGCTGAAGATAATTTTGCTTAAAATAAGTCACCATTTCTAATAAATATCCTGATACAATAGAGAGACATCAATCAATACATAGGAGGTGATGCTAAACTAATTGATTAAATCATCCAAAATGATATATTACTCTTTTGGTTACAGAAAAATTGAACGAAATGATAAACCATTTCACTATAAGAGAATCAGATAATTTATGAATTACACTAATGGCTTGGAGCTTCAGGTGCAGCTACTATTAAGCAGTCTGGGGCTGATTTACATAAAAATCACCCAATTCCTATGTAATTGCATACCTACTAAATAAACTTCAATTTTTACATTAATACCACCCAGATCTTTCAAATCATATAAAAAATACCACTATTTTAACTTTTTAAAAATTGAAATATATTTTTTCATGCATAGATAAAGTAACGCGTAAAAAATTGAAGTTTGGGCATTAGGTATGTAATTACATAGGAATAGGGCTGTGAATTTAGCTTGAAGATCATTAATCGCTCGAAAATTGATTCAAATTTTGGCTCAGATCGAGATCGGATCAAAATAAATAAGCTGAACTACGAGAAAAAATTTTGGATCAGTTTTTTTTCGAGCCAATTTTAAGCCGACCACAACTTACACAGGAATTGAGTGGTATGTATGTAAATCCTTAAAAAAAATCTGAGAATGTTTGGGTAACTTTGGAGGAGCTTCCTAAAGGAAATTATAACTCTCATAAAGAATGAGTGGAAACATAGTATTCTAATGAAGAAATAAGCATGGAGATTAAGCATCAGGTTTAGGTTTGGTATCAGATATATCAAAGAAATGATGATACATACGCCACCAGTTCTCTGATGCTTCCTCCACCGTCCGATAAGTCCATATGTGTGATTTCGATTTCTCTCGAGCTTGCAGTATTTTCTGCAAATAAAAAAAAAAGGTGAAGATGATCAACTAATTAATAATCATGAAAATAACTACTAATAAATACATTCTTCTACAAATTCTCACCTCAACTTCATCTGGCCTTTTTGTTTTAAGAGCCAGGCAGTCAAAAAGTGAACTCCATTTTTCAGAGCAATTGTCAAAATGCCCATATCTATAGTATTGCTCCATCTGGTGAAATGGTGCTGCGCAGCAGACGGCTAATAGTTTCAATAATTGAAGGAAGATTTGCAATACCACGTAATTCATATGTTTTTACATATCAAACACCTAAACTTTAATTTTCACACATATGCCACCTTATCTATGCACGAAAATGTGTATTTCACATTTCAAAAGATTAAATATTGTATTGTTTTATGTGATACGTAATAGTTGAGTGGTATAAATGTAAAAAATAAAGTCGAGTGTTAGACATGTAAATTCACTAGAGTTGGGAAGTATGTATGTAAATGCCATACCATGTAAATGCCCTCAGAAGAAAACAATAGGAAAAAGGTAGGAAAATATACATACAAACCAATCAATTCTTATGTGTTTTTACATACATGCATACCTAAACTTCAATTTTAACATATCTAACACCTAAACTTCAATTTTTACATACATGCATACCACCTTACCTAAGTATGAAAAAGTGTGTTCCGCTTTTTAAAATTTAAAATGGTGGTATTTTTTGTGCTAAGAAAGATTTGGCTGGTATAAATGTAAAAAGAAAACTTTACGTGTTATATATGAAAATACATAGGAAATTGGTAGTACGCAAGAAATGCATAAGAAATTGGTAGTATGTATATAAATACCCCAATAAAGTAAAGCAGAACACAACATTTCCAATGTCAATTGCACATCATAAAATGCTGAGAAAAATAGATACTAAAGGCCGAATCCAGTATATTAAGCTAGCCAGCAACAGAAGGCGGTTGGCGGGTGGTGGAAACAGCTATAGTTCACAATGATTTCAGAAAGTGGCCAAATCTGGACAAATACACTAGAAATGAACAAAAGGTTGTGTTTGGAATTCACTGAAATTTTATTCTGCATTCTATTTTCCTCAAACTAAATACTTTGGGTTTGTTTGGGATCACTTTTGTTTTCGTTTTTGCTTTTTATTTTAAAAAGATGTTTGTTTGGTGCATTTTTTGAATGTTTTTATTTTTTATTTTTAAAAGCAAATTAGCTTGCTTTTAAAAATACTCAAAATATCTAAAAAATTGTTTTAAGTATTTTTGAAAATAATTAAACAAGCTATGCTACTATACCAAACATGTTTTGTTTCAAATCAAAAGATAAATAAAATAAAATAAAAATAATAAATAGAAAATAAAATATAAAAGTGACACCAAAAGACCCCTTAATTTTGCAAAAAACTTGCATTCCAAATTCAGTGCCCTGATTTTGCAGGAAAACAAACGGTCCCTAACCATAAAAGCTTTCTTTCATAAGCTAATGCTTCCAATTACAACACTGAATGAGACTTCATGAGAAGCTTAATCACAGATACAAATGCGGAATTAGGTGGCTGCGTTTACCATTACTGAACAAAATGTTTTATGAGGGGAAAAAGATTTAACATTAGAAACTATAGCATCTTCATTTAGCACCTTTCAAACTTCAAATTAAGAATCATTTTCTCACTAGTACGCTCAAAATGCAAGGCACTAAAATTTATGTTCATATAGCAGATATCTAGATCAACTTATTAAAATAGGAACAGAAACGAAACATAATCAGCTTCTTGAATGCTACCCTATTAATTCCTTTTCACCTCTACAATTCCACAGTGCTCTTTCCTCAGAGTCTCGTCGTGGCACTCAGGGTTACTAACTGAATCAATAGGACACATCGTCCTGATTAATATTCATTTGTAGATTTAAATCAATAACTGACAGTATTCGACCTCAAAAATCATAAACCCAGAAATAAGTATGCATAGGCTGAAAAAGACCAGGATGTCAAAATTATATGAACAAAACTAAGAACGAACCTACTCAGATTACGTTGAATATATAAACAGCAATATAAAACTTCTACATAGTTCACCTGAGATACGAAGAAAAGTTTAGCCCAACATGACTTTGATAACAAGTTAGAATAGATTTAGGATCGTCGACTTGGGGTCACTTAGAACTTTTGACGGAAATAATATAAGAAAATATATATTGCTTATAATACAAAATATATATTGCTTATAATGCTTATAATACAAATTGAGAGTAGACACCAAAGGTTGTGCATCGATATCTGCAACTCAAACACAAACTGACTTATACAGAAGAAAGAGCTGGCATAAAACCGGAAACTAACTCTACAAAACCATGGGTTTGCCCACTGATTTACAGAACCAGGGGCGGAAAGTAAATATTCGATGCAGAAAAAGATTCTCTATCAGACAAACATGTGGTGAAAAGGACTTCCATAGGACACAGGATAAGTGGGTGATCCCCACAAAGCATACATTTGAAAATAATATTACATACATTGAGTAATTGAATGGGCCAACTACTTCCACTAAACAACATTATGTAGTCCTTTTTTCGTCAGCAACATGAGTGTGTTGAGCTCAGATTCATTGTGGTAGACATACGGTCCGAGGTCTTTGTACGAGTTGTCTTTTGTGGTATTGCATTTGCAATACAGGGAGTTTGTTTCGTATATTGTGCGTAGGATGTTGAGTTCCTCGATAACTCTTCCGACTTGTTCTTGCTCAATGGTCCTTGGTGCTCCTTGTAACCTTGTTCTAACATCAAGATTAACGGGGTGGTCAAAGCATGACCACAGTAATTCCCAATAAATGTAGCTGGTGTCCTTGACTTGTCCTGAATTGCAAGGGCGACCGTCTCTGAACCTCTGCCATCGTTCCTCAAATGCGGCTTTGTCCGTTTTGATTCTCCATTGGAAATCAGCTCTTAATACAATTTCTGAATATACTTCATTTACTTTATTCCGTCTTCCAGGATTCATTCTTCGGCTGAAAATATATTGTTAATTCTAAGATCACCTGCAACAAGAACAAAAGTTAGGCAAGAATATTGTTCCTTCCGTCAATATGCTCAAAGTGGACAGTGATCCCTAAGCCGTTAATGAAATCAGTAAATGATAGTCATCGCACTCTTGATAGTTTATTTTGGGTTGATTTATGATAAAAGAAGATGATGACTTCACAGTCGGTTCTCAAAGTAATTTCCGATTTATCCAAATAATGAATCTTCAAAAAATTCAAAGTTTCAAAAATTTCTGCATCTATGATGGATTTAATAATTGAGAATTTCCCACTAGCGTAGGCACAAATTCTTTCCGACGACTTTGAATCATTTTTTGAATTCTTCCATTTGCAGACACTACCCTATCCTTCCATACAACCATCAGTTTCTAAGATAATATATGCATGAGATTGTGGGATTTTGAGATTCAGGAGTTTTTGAACAAGATTTTTAATTTTTCGAACTAATGTTCAATCGTGTTCTTTCATCCTTTTGTCTCCATGGGGAGACATCTTTTGATATAATGGGCTAAGCAAAATGCCCAAATTGGGTATATATCCCCGTGCATAATTCAGAATTCCAAGTCACGATCTTAAACCCTGTTTTTCTTTCAAATTTTTATTAGGTAAGTCGGCGATTTTCCTGATAATATGTTGTTGAAGTTTAATCTTACGCTGCTTTATTACTGCACCAAGAAAATCTCTCCGTTACAGTAATTTTCATCTTGATTGATGAGAGCACAAACTCTTCTCTTTCCACAATTCCGAGAAAATTTTCCAAATGTATTATACGCTCCTCTTCCTCATTTTTGCTAAAAATGATTATATCATCAATGTAAACTGCAAGAAAATCCATGGAGCCTTTGAAACAATTATTCATCTTGCGTTGAAATATTGCTGGGGCGTTCTTAAATCCGAACGGCATTACAAGCCACTCGTATAGTCCAGTTGACACTGTAAAAGCGGTCCACTGAATAGAGTCTGAGTGCATAGCTACTTAGTGGAATCCACTTTTTAAGTCGAACTTAGAATAAATATTGCTATTGTCAATCTTTTTAATCAACGTATTAATGCATGAGAGAGAGTATTGATCTTTTTGCGTGTTGTCGTTTAGAGATCGGTAGTTGAAGACCATTCTCTCATTTCCTCTGATTTCCTTTTTCGTTTTTAGGTCAATGGTGACCTTAGAGTGAATTATAATAGCCATAGTTCTGTGTCGACTTGAACTTGGGCGAATGACCTTTAGATTAAGAAGTGTGTTTACGTGGTCTTCAAATTATGACTGCATGGCAGGAGTCACATGTTTCAATGGCTTATCTTGTATGGTGACATCTGGGTTAATGATATCAATCTTGCAGACGACTTTATTCTTAGACCAGTGTTGTAATGGGTTTTCACCAATATATCAATTACTTCTTAGTCTGCTCAACAGAGGTTGAAACTTTCGCGTAAATGCATTCTCTGCAAAGGTCCATCTGTATTCTAGAGGTTGTAATTCAAGGAAAAATTCGTAGTTCAAGTCGAGTTCATGAATTTGTTTTGCCTCGACTTCTACCTCAAAAGTTGTTGGAACATGGGTGATTTCTTTGTAAAAGATTACTGTGTTTCCTTCTACTCGCATGTCACAATGCAGATTTCTGATAAAGTTGCATCCGATAAGCATTTGGATGTCATATACAACGTATATTTCCATGCAAAAAATTAAAGAAATTCTGAAATTATGTTCGTCTATGTACATTTTTCCTTCCTTTAATTTCTTTTCGGATTTCGTAGTGGAGTTGACTCTAATGAATTTCACCTGATAATTTAGTTCTTCAATGACAGCCTTTAGGATATTGTCGATGTTGGCACAACATGTCGTAGCTCCAGTGTTAATAATTGCATTTATCTTGAATCGCTCAACTCCAGCAATCTCGAATGTGACTGTAACATTATACAGCCTACTCAACATCTTTATTAGATTTCTCTGTGCTTGCTCCTTCATGGATTCACACATCATTTTTGATCCGCTGACTTCCTCAGTAATGAACTGAGTCAAGTCCTCTTCATCTTCTTCTTTAATGATAGTTTTTCCTTTGTCGTGCATTGTTGACTCTTGCAGACTATTATTGAGCCGAACCTCCATATCAACTTATATCTTCACTTTTAACCTCTTTTTTGTTTCAACAAGATGGTCCACTTACTTGATCAATTCTTGTATTAAGGAGTCCTTTGATTGAAACTGTAGCAGAGTTAACTCCTTTATTTCTATGGTTAGGTAAAATTTGGCACATAATAGACACGCCGTTATTTTGCATAGTACACAGTG